TTTCAACATTTATTTCTACTTTATGCTTAACTTGATACTGGGAGGGAAAAAATAAAGATGAGAGATAAAAAGATTTTTTAAATTTTATTTTATTTTTTTAATCACCGTCTTGCGTTTAAGATGTAGTATTAATCCATACGTTTGATGTAAGTATTTTTTCTTCTTACATGCACAAGGAAACTTGATCTTTTGCGAGGAGTTTATGTGGTTTTCAAAATACGCAGCTAGAAAGAGACTTGGTTGATGGATTGGTTGACAAATTGCGATGTTTACCGGAAATGATTTTTGCGCAACAAAAAGAAATTTGCAGATTATTTCGTTTTACGCCGGTAGTTTACTTGGTTTTATATTTTAATAAGGCTTATTTTAATGAGGTTTCAGATGTAATTTTATCTCACTTGAAAATTTCAGAATCAATCATTGTTACTAATTACCATAATTATTCGTGTGCAACCAGTCGTTTTGAAACAAGTTGGACAGATAAGTTAGTAACCTTTAAAAATTTTTAGGGGTGAAATGGATTCTAGAGGTCACATATTCTTACTCGAACTTATGTTCATAGCCCAACTTAAACGAACATTAAGTTATTTTAGTGAATTTTAACTTTCTAAGTTAACATTTTAATAGTGAATGATTAACTAATGGATATTTCTATTGTTTATTGAACATTTTTTCAAAGAAAACATCAAACCCAGTTTTTTGCTAAACTGTTTTTCTAGATTGTTGGACTCATTGTAATGTTTTTATAGAATGTTAAGCTTCTTGCATTGGTCTATGTATTTTGAGAAAATTAAACTGTACCTTTTCTGCATAAAATAATTTAAGTGATCCTGAAAAACTAGGGAAAAGTATGAGCCTCCATGCCGTAAGTTGGCTCATACGTAAATCGAAAAAAAAGGTAATAAAATAAAACTTTGAGGGGTTGCTGTATTAGTCCAAATATATCGCCAAGTAAATTTTGAGGTGGATGACACTTAATGAATCTCAAAAAAACCTGTCATCGAAAATACTCATATTGTACGATATAACAATAAAGCAAAAAAAAACTCTAAACAGGGCCAAACAACGTGATTGGGGGTCCCAACGCATTTATAATTTTGCCCAGCCAGTGCACACTCTTCGTGTGGTACAACGCATCCCTCGCCGCAAGTTTCTCTCAACTCTTCGCGATCTTCTCCCACCCTTCCATCCCCATACTCCTTCTACCCTTGCCCTTTCGCCGCACCTCCCTTGTCCGTTCGTGTTGTATAGTATATATACCTGCACTTATACAAATACACATGATGCCTCTCCCTTCCCTCTCACTTCTCCTCTAGCTAATGCAGCGGTGAGTAGCGTTTGCGCGCGCAACGACCCCCACTGCGTTGAAACGTGCTTATTCTGTAGGAAGCCAGCTATATGGTCGGTCGGAGAGGGTGGGTAGGAGGGGGAATGGTTGCTCGCGTATACGCGGTGTGGAGAGCAACGTGCGCGCGGGGGCAACAGTAGAATCATTACCAAGCAGGATCTCGAGAGAAGCGGACGTGTTATCGTGTTGGCTCTCTTTCTGTGTCCCCGTGTGTTTCGCGCGATACCCATAAGAGTTCTGAACGAAGTCAATTGTACGTTCTCTCACATATTTGTACAATAGAAATTGTTTCGGCTTCGTTCGCGCGTATCGCACATTTTTTTTCCATACAGTGGTGTGTACGTGATATTTTTACACTTTGCAAATTTAGCAGATACATTGTCGTATCTTGCACAGTTCGGCATTTTTTGTTTCTGTAAAAATTTTTTTCTGTTCTGTTTTTTCTGCACCTCAGTTCTTTGGCGTGTAACGAAGAGAAATACTTAAAAAACTGTGATTTCATCTTGCTGTTTCATTGACGCGCATTGACATAAGTTAAAGTCAACTGTGTACACATAAGCTTGTGCAGTGACAGTTGTGCGACGATACACGCAAAAGCATTTACTCTGCATTTTTGTCTTCACTATCAGCTGAAGCTCCGTAATACTGACTGTCATTTTGCGGGATTTTTTTTATTGAACTCCCACACCGTACGTGCCATCAACCCTTTTGACGCTGGACAATCAGACCCAAGTACATTAGAGTGAAACATTAGAACTTTCGAGTGTAACTCGCAATTTTTTACCCCGCAAAGCTCACTTCAATTAAAAAATCAGTGGAGTGTACAGCTAAGGCAGAACCTATGGAAAGTGATCCTTACGAAGATCCGCCCTATAGGAGATTTCGCAGGTGACTTTTGGATACGTGTACACCCAGCATAACCGGCTCCAGCAAGCACTCAGTGTACAAACACGGAAGCGCGTGCGCCTAAGTTCAACCACGTGCCGCGCGTAATCATCAGATCACCGACACGTGTTCCACACAGCACGTCAGTGGGAAAAAAGATACAAACTTTTGCGCTGAATTGAGCGGAGCGATCGGGATTGGAGAAATTTAAACTCTAAGCTCGATCTTAGATTAGAGGATATTAAACTCGGACTTTCCAAAAGTGCGAGTGTGTTTTTGACTGTTTGAGAAAATTTAAAAAATACGCACACCACTGAGACGTTTGGATTATTGAAACTTTGACCAAGTCGAATTAGAAACAAAAATGGCCATCCCTATTACGAATCCTTCAGATGAAGAGGAGCTTTACCGCGTCAGGCAACTGTATTTGGAAAAGCTGTTGCTGGATGTATACAAGGCACTGCAGAACATAATGGTCATCAGAAGCGCCCAGTACGAATACTTGCAGTCCAGGAACCGTGAGTATTTTAGAAAAATTTTCTCACCTTTATTATTATTTTTTTTTTTTTCAATTTTTAATTAGGGTATGTCGTGTGATGAATACTTTGAGTACGACGTGATGTGACATAAATGTTACGATACTTGAGGTGTGTGTAATATGAATCAAGACAGAAACATTTCTGGGGTGCACTTTACTTTTGGTATCGATTTTTTTATTCATTTTTAAGATTTTTGTGCCACATAATTAAAAATTTTTTATGAAAAAAAAAAAACTACAAACATTAAGCTACAATGCCCATTGGTGATTTTTTTGTTAAATTTCGTGACTACGGACATAGCTAAATAATTCTAATAACATGAAAAACCATGAATAATTTAAAAAAATACTTTAAATTTGATAACACCCCTAATCAGTATCATAAATTGAAATAGATATTTTCATATAAATATTTTTCAACATTTATAAGTTTGGAAAAATTATGCAAGTGATTAAATAATTGTACTGAAGTAAAAACGGTTAGTTAAAAAAAAGAAAATAAATAAAGGGTTTCATAAACCATTAAAACTGAAGTGCAACTACATTGTACGGCATTAAAGTTTAGCTTGTTGGAAATTTTTTCCACAAGCTATGACAGGAGTAAACATATTCAGTATACTTCTCGGGGAAAACGAGTAAGCTAGAACTTAACTAAATTTTATAATTAAAAAACTCAATTTTATAAATAAAAAAATCGAAAACATGAATTTAAAAAAAATTTAATCTCCCCATTCTCAGCCACGGTCGCGTAATACTTGATTAAGTGCAGTTGAGCGCGGGCGGTTGGTGATCATTGACCGTCGATCGACGGTTCCCGCCCTGCACTGTAGTGATTATTATGCGCTCATTACGTGTCACGACAACGACCGTCAATGGCACTTCGTGAAACATGAGCAACACTTGATCGATTCAGTGAGACAGGAAGCAATAAAAAGTTCTACCGTTGCGTGTTCGGTGTGTTTTGTGCGGTAAACATCGGCGCCAGGTAGTATTGTAATTACTTACGTCTAAGATAATGCAAATGGTTTGTTATTGTTGTTAACATAAAAAAAGCAGGTTACTGTATGCGAGACGTAATGAGTTATCTAATAGTCAACGACGCGTGTTCGTACACTTGACTTTGGCATGGATCGTTAACGTAACAAGCGCTTTTCTCTTGGTCATAGAAAACGAGATAGAAAAAATATTACGCACGCATTTAGTGACGCGTTGTTTTGTTGAATAATCGAGTATTAACTTGTTCCTGTAACAAACAGACCGCAGCTTTTTTCTTGCAAGAGACGAGAGGTATTGAAAACGCGATGAGGACATTGACACATCGTACAGTAGTATTTGGAAACATTGTTTATTTTCCATGTGTTCAGGCACTAGAAGTGTAGAAGTTCCTTTTATGGCGAAAAAAAATATTTCAATTAATGATTAAAAATAGTGAAAAAAAATTTTTATTTGCTTATGCCAGTGCAATCAGCTGTTTCTAATGATAAAACTAGCTTTTTTTTTTTTGTAAACTCTATACCTTTTTTTCTGTACAATCTAAAAAAATTTTAATTGGATGATGTTCTGCATCATACATCATTGCAATGAAATTAAAGTCAACGGACACTTGAAACAAACTCAGCCATCGAGTTAAACAAATCATCACATCAATTCTAAAAACACTTTGATTCGCCGTTTTATTACGTCCCAATGCAGCCTCATCAGCAAAACCAATGTGGAATCTCACAGTTTCTCAGCACTAGTATTTTTTCTCTTTCAAGACCACTGTAAAGTCACTGATCTCAAAACTGTCCGAACACAAAAATTACGGATCGGTGCGCAAACTCGTGAAACGTAACAGCAGTCAAGTGATTCACGCGTTCTTGAAATTCTTGCGCCTCGCTGCCGAGCTCCAAATAAGAAATAATTGCGCAAGTCTATGAATGATTCAAGGAAAACGCGCGCGCTCCGACAACAATGGCGGAAATAAAGAGCCGAAGTAACTGTAGTTCACGCGGAAATTGACAAGTTGCCATGTCTATGTTTGTAACGTGTGCTGTTTTTTTTTCTGAGTCCAAATCAGTTTTTGAAAGCTGACGGTAAAAATTGTTTTTTTATAACATTGATTCGAGTGCAGGATTGTCTTTTGTGCTACAAGAAAAGCTTGCTCGTAAGATAGATACTTCTCGTAAAAGTAATAGATAGCGAAAAACAGGTTTTCCAGTAAGTACAATCGATCGCGTAAAAATGCCAGACGAAGAAACACGAGCCGCAAAAATACCTGGCCATACGGTGTACGGACAATAAAAAGTGCACTTGGGGAAATCAAATTTGTCCTGAGGCTCGACATCGAAAAACCGAATGCTCCGCAGTTCGCTGTTCACATTACGGTTGTATTATTTCGCAAACGACGCTAAAACTCCGCCGAGCGCGATAATTTATATCCCCATACTCTTTTTATCTCACACACACTCTTTCTCTCAGGTTGTATACAGAAAAAAACACCAAAGACTGCAAGAGTGCGCATATATAAAAGACGAGAGTACACAGAAGAGAGAGAGAGAGAAAGAAAAACACATGTAACGTGTGGGTGTGTGCGAAAAGATATACATATACACACTGGGTAGACGATGTCCGGCCGTGACCCTGCCTGGCTTCTCGTTTTTCTCTTTTCTCCTCTCTTTTTCTTCCTTCGCTTCGTTGGATCTTGTTCGCTTGCTCGGTTGCTTTCATGCACTACTCCGACCTATCTTTGCGAGTCGGACGCGTGTGCGTATGCATTAAGTTTGCACACATGCACATGTCGCGAAAGATGAACAAGTAGAAACGAGAAGCAAGTTGACGGAACGATGGTATAATATATCATATTAGGTATCAGAAGTAGCGCAACTGTATAATAATAGCAGAGTCGGTTCAGTATGATAAAGGATGTAGAGCCACCCGTAAAAGCTTGCGTGTATGAATTCGATTTTTCTTTATAGCGAGCGAATAAAAAAGGACACACAAAGTATATAAAATACTACTGTGCGTCTTAATATCTCCCGTTGTCGTAGAAACCGGAGCTTTGTTTCGAGCTTCCATTTATTTCTTTTTTTTGCTCGTCCGAGTGCAACCACGAAAGGAAAGTTATGTCAAGCAGTGCACTTTCTTTTTAGCTTCTTCGAGATATGATTTATAAGGCTGACTTTGTATTAAGTTAAGAATCCAAGTAATATGACGTTGGTAGACTTAAGTTGTTTTATATGTAATATGTCTTTTACTTGAAGGTGAGGGAGGGATGAAAATTCAAGTATTACATTTGTCAAAAGTGTAGCTTTTTGTACCTTCAATATTTTGATGGATTAAAAAAAAAATAATAAAACAGAGGGAAAACTTATTTGTTGGAAAGATTTTTCTAACAACAGATGAGGAGTAATTGTCCACCATAGGTGTGCCGAATCTTTTCAATTAGAATAGAAAAAAAAATTTTTAGTCCAAGTTTCCATACGAAAAGTGTATCGACAGTAAAATATTCTACAGTATACTTGAAAACACTAAAATATCTAAACTTCTGCTACTATACTTTGTACTTATTTTTAATATTTTTCTATTTTGATGTATGCATTTGTAGTGTGGCCATTTTTTCCACAAGACTCGAGCCTATCGAACTATGAGCAGTTAGTATAATTAAGACCACGAGTCCATTTTTAACCAATAAACCGCTAATAATAACACCTACTGAAACTGATATTAATACTCCCATCTGGTAAAAACTGATATGCTCCGAATAGTATGGAAAAAGTAATGATTGCAACGATTCCCTAATCTCCTATTGCTTTTTCTCGTCAAAGCTTGGAGCTAATTAGGCAAAAGATATATTATGTTGATTGGGCAATAGGGACGAATAAATTCACATTCCTTTTTTCCCTTTACGTGCAGAATAACCAAAACCACGAGTTTATGGCTAGTACACCGAGTGACGATACTCATATATGTACACAAAAAGTCTTCTATTTTTGCACGCTGGCACGAAAATAGTGCCAAAAAGCTCATGCACACGTTCTGAGGGTCAACAACCATATAGTTACGAATACTCGGGACCAAGAAAAGCAAAACACCGCATTCGAAAACACCGAGGGCGCAGATACTCGCTGTTGCATCAGATCTGCCCCCCTGCTCTCCGACGCACAGGGAGGTTTGGTCTCTTTTTCTCTCGCCCTTCTCTCCCCGCAGCTCCTTCAGGGCACATTTATTTATAGAAACAGCTGGCGTAAAAGCCCGACCCGAGCCAAGAATTTCGGCCCTCGTATTTCACTTGGTTTTCGCGCGTGCCATCCGCACCCGTATTTTCGCATGGCTAGAAATGTGCCTATGTATACCCATCACGGCTTCTCGCGTTACGTACATGTTAGAAAAGCCTCGAAGCCTCTCACCTCGTCCGTCGCTCTCGAAGAGTGTCAGCGGCAAGTTTCCTCGAGTTCCTTGGTAAGATCCGCCGACTGATTGATTAAATGATACTTTGCGTGCCGAAGATAACAAGGATGATTTTTTTTATTCTTCTTATTTACTGGTAGCTGCAAAAATTATTTATAAGGCCGAACTAACATACAGCCATCCTGACACTGCGAAATAAGAGGCTCGATGCATAAAATGAGACTCATCGGACGGTGATTGACAGATCGCTACATTTCTGAAGTAAAATACAGTTTTTACATTATCGATTCGTCAGCCTCGCTTAACTCCCTTGAATCGCAAAGGAGAACGAGTGATCGACTACCTCATCCCCCTCTTTTCAACTGCCTTAGACGTCTGTAACTTTGATCACAGTAAAATAGTATATGATCTTCCCCGTGACGTGTATTTTCGCCCTCGATCGAGAGAAAACGATCATCTTATGTTCCACTCAGTCATTTTTTTTGCATCCTCACCCACCACGAGCTGCATTATTTACTCCAGCCACTCCACACACACTCTTGCACAAATGACAGCAGTAACAATAACAAAACTGAGGAATGTCCAATGACG